GGTGGTGTGGGGTCTTCATGATAACCCGGGGGGGGGGGCTTTGGGCAACTGTTTCTTGTCTCGAGGGGAATTCTTAGCGTTCTACACCGTGCTAATCGATGCACCCGACTTTTGACGCACATGGCTAATTGATAGGTAATCGTAGGGACAATAGTTGGTTCAATCTTCAGGAGCTGGACCGCGTTCGCAGAAACCTCGGTCTACTGCCGGGTGACAACGCGCAGTCAGCTGATTCAACCTCGTTAGCCAGTTAGCGGACAACGTGCACCGGTGACTGCTTATTCCAAAGGCTCAACTTTCGGATTGTTGGAGTCAGCTGTTTCGCACAGTTGACCTCATTCAAAGCTGACAACACTGACCTGGATATCGATTTAGACATACGTGACCAGAAATAACCCTTTCATTCTCTCCAGTCGCCTACCCATGACAGCTGAGCTTTCATAGGTGTTTGCGTTTATTTTACCGGGACCACGGTCGTCCATCCGCTGACACGACGAGATGGCTCAAGTGGTTAGGGTGCGAATTTACTGACCGGAAGGTTCATGGTTCCAACCTGACCTCTCAACTTCCCCTGTCTAGGCTTAAGGAACCTGGCAGTATCCCAGCCCTCGTGCTTCCTTCGGGTAGCATGGCAGCTAGACACCGGAAGGGTGTTACAGCTGAACAATTCATCACGATGATATGTATGCGAAGATCGTTACACGCAACTGACAAACTCATCAAGCAAATCTGACAACCGGCAGTTTACTGGAGGGTTTTCTCAGACGTAAGTTATGTAGAATCCGATATGGCGTTGGGGCGGTGAAACTCTCAGGATAGATTTCCTATCGATGATCTCTCACATTTGAATTGATTGGACTTGTTACGTTCAAAGTGTACGATTTTACCGTCAGAACCGCTACATTGGCGTCCTAAAATAAACATAATCGTTCAGCTGTATCACCCTTTTGGTGCCTAGCTGCCATGCCACACGAAGGTCGCACGATGTCTGGGATACTGCTAAGTTGCCCAAGCCTAGACAGGTGAAGTTGAGAGGCGTAGGTCGGGTTCGAACCACGGACCCTCCGGTCCATCTCGCCTCCTTTGTTAACGTGGACATCTTACTCCTCATTTAACTAGTCCGTCGGCGGTGTCTATCCTCCTCGTGGTGTTTTCCAAAACAAACCAACTGTTGTCGTGCAGTGGAATGTGTTGGGCGCACCACACGGCAACTCGCTAAGAGACTATTTGAGTGTCTTTCTCGCCGGAGCATTAGTAGACCAAATGGCTTGGCCAAAAAGTCAATCCCGTCACACGTCAGTGACGTCGGTCATAATCCAACGGCATCCCTAGGCCACAACCGAGGTAGTCGCAATACGAGTGTTGTCAAAAACGATTCGCCTGAGCGCTGAGTCTGTCTTGGTCGCGTGCCAAGAGCTGGTGAGCTCAGATACTCAGCGACCAATCAAATGCGAATTACGCTTCGCTGCTTTAGTGACCAATCATAACTGTTTATTTCATTATTGACCCCATATTCTAGTCATCAGAATAATGACGGGACCCTGAAAACACAGGTTTTTTTTAAACTACAAAGTTGTTCTTAACTGACTTGACTATAATTGGCTAATTAACTGATTAATCAGTTAATTACAGTCAGATGGATGGTGTTTTTGTAGTTTCTGTCTTTGAAATGTTTTATTTACTTGTGCACACTGGTGGTCATGGCGGTGAATTGCAACTACTACTTATCTACTTATTTCAGGCGACGATGCCTTTTTTGAATCGCACTTTTTCTGTCTCTTTTGTACTCAGTTACGAGTGGGATTTTGTCACACGATTGGATCCCAGCGTTCCAGCCGAGGCACCCGAGGGACATGACTACACTCGGTGTCGCGTGACCTATCAAGAGGGGAAATTTCATGTTCGAATGTCACCTTGGCAGCCACCGAAGAACGTCACCGAGGCAGCAGCTCAAGCCGCCGGAAAAGATCCAAAACCCGCGGGCCGTTCCGAAAGCCGTGCGGCCAGTGGCTCCGAAGAGGAGGTCACTGTCCAAGTGCAGGATAATTTCAATCTTTCCGATAAGGTTATTTTGCACTCTTCGGATGGCGACCAGGTAGATATTTTGGTGCATCACCCTCGAATCTGTCTTTTTCGAATCGTTCTACTTGTTCCCGTCAGAAACGGACTACTGAAACTCATCGTATTGTACCCCTTTATGGAGTTGTACTGGGAACTGCCCACGCGTCGTTCATGAATTATTTTTTCTCAGTTTGATCAGTGAATAGAGGTCTGACCAACACAGTCGCCTGGCCTCCACTGTAACACCCTTTCGGTATCTGGTTGCCTTGACACTCAGGGGAAGCACGAGGACTGAGGTATTTTTGACCAAGCCAAGATACTGAGGTTGGGTTCGAACCACAGACCTTCTGGCGAGTAAGTAGGCGGCTTAACCACTGAGCTATCCCGAGCCCAGCAACAGTAATTCAGCAGTTTTATGATTCAAAGCTAGGCACTGGAGTCCTATCAGACTGGTCCATCGATCGGGGCAATCAGAACAGTTGCTCGGTCTGTTTGCCGAGTTTGACAGTTGGATTGCGCACGTTCAATCGCCAGTCAGCCCCGCACGATTGGTGATGAAACGTTTACGGTCCAACTTCCAAGCTCGGTGAACAGAGCAACAAACAAGCAGCAACATCGCCAGTTACTGGGTCATCGTTCGATCCGTCGGGCAAATCAGTCACATCGCTCGAGCGTGAGCACTTTCACCTGTTCAGACGTGAACATTCAGATGTGTTCAGGTTCCACTGATGGTAACATACTCCCTTCGCTTGTCAGATGTCCGAAATTTAAACGGCCAAAGACATGCACTACTGATGAGCTTTGATAGTATTCCGGTGCTCTCCCCTTGAACGTGAACTCCACACATGTCGCAACCACTACGCCTTTTCAGTCATTTCATCGATCGGTTTGATGTGATGAGCAAGGTTTTAGCCACTTTGATTAACCGAGTGGCGCTGGTGACCGTGGCTTCTCTGAGGCCAAGGTAGAGGCTTATCCTTCAGCGGGTATGCATGTAGAATGCATGGAAAGCGAATCACTCTGCCTTCGGACAGTCCAGTTTGTTATACCTTTCAGACGCATGTACCAGTTTGAAACCTCGAAATGACCAAATTAGCTGTCTGTCGTATTAATGCTCACATGTTCGCATCGTTCCATGAACATACTTGATTTCGAGTCTTTGGAAACGACCTTTGTAGAGGGTGTGGTGTTGAACTTATTATTTATCCTTGGTAAAACTGACCAGATTGGGGTGGCCTGGACTGAATACCGTTTCAAATATTGTTCCTTTTGTTGTTTAACATTTAACTGTCATGTAACTTCTCTTGTTTCCAGGTTATACTCCAGCTACTCGATCGAGGTACGGATACTGTTCGTCTTCAATACCTTGGCACTGCATTCCCCATAGAAATCTACGAAACCAAAGCTGCCTGGTATCGATCAGCTTATATGGCACCACCCAAGGTTATCGATTATGGGTCCATGTGTATTGCTCCGATGCCGGGCCTGGTTCGATCTGTCTCAGTCAAAGTCGGAGACCGTGTGAGCGATGGCCAGGAACTCTGCGTACTCGAGGCGATGAAGATGCAAAACAGCCTGTCTGCTGGAAGGGCTGGTGTAGTAAGTTTATCGATCGGAAACACCATTTTTCATGAGTTTCTGAGAACCGATAATCTATTTTTCTCGGAGACAGTGTGTCAAAGTTAGGAGAAACAGCACAGGAGATCCGTGAACAGCTGGATCCTGGAACAGGATTCAGTGTTCACAATAGAACATAGTTTGTTATCTGTCAACCAACACGAGACTTCCTAGAGTCCATACTCCCTCAAAGCAAACCACGGAGGTGTCACCGATGTGTGGTTTCTAAGACCCCCAGATTGATGGATGATGAGTGAATGCAGACAGCTCGAGTATATTCCTCAAAACCCGGAATCAGACACTCTCTGTTACACAAATGTTTAAACTGCCAATCAAGGGAACCAATGTGACTGCGACCAGTCCAGACATCACAACACCCTTCTATCACATGCACACGTTGTATACAAATGTCTACCAAGGTCGTCTGGTCAATCCAGCCACTCTAAGCTGTTCTGTTCAAAACGCTCGCGAACGTGAAGTTCGTTGATTGTTGATCTCAATGTCGCGTTTACTACTATCATTTTTCTCGCAACTCTGTTATGTATGTCTTGTACGAAAACCTCGTTTCCTCAACCTCAGTGATTCTCAGAGACTTTAAATAAAAGATAACCGTTCAGCTGTAACACCCTTTCGGTACCTAGCTGCCGCGCCACTCGAAGGAAGCACGAGGGCTGGGATACTGTCAAGTTGCCCAAGTCTAGAGGCAGAAGTCGGGTTCGAATCACAGACCTTCCGGTGAGTAAATTCGCGCTCTTACCACTGAGCCATCTCGCCCCCTCAGTGACTCTGAACCAGTTTACCACCATAACGTTCATTCTGTGAAACGAGGATTCTACCACACCATGTTCTATCACGAATAGGGTCGTGACGGATTGAACCAATTCAGATTTGTCAGAATAAGATCAATGGCAATCAAAACCGTTCAGCTTCAACATCATTTCGGTGTCCAGGTGTCTTGACACCCGAACTAGGCTGAGGTACTGCCAGCCTGACCAAACCTAGACAGGATCAATCGAGGTGCAGAGGTTGGGTCTGAACCACAAACTTTCCGGTCCACACCCTAACCACTGAGCTATATCAAGCCAGAACACCTAACTGAGATTGAAGGGAGTGTGTGGGAAAATACATTTTGGATGTACGCAAAGTTTAAATGTAAGGTATCAAGCGTATTGGCTGTTCATTCGTCACTTCGCAGCCATTTTCCTGGAAAAAATCGGTCAGCTTTGATCAACTCTTCTAGTTGATCCTCCAGAATGTCCTTGTGTCAGATAATCTCTAAGGAAGTTGACATTCAAGCGACTGCTGAAAGAGATGAACAAGACAACAGTTTGAAGAACATTGACTTACTTGTCGGGGTGACCGGGTTGCCGAAAGACGGTTTTCCCTTGGAATGATTTTGATTGATTAGTGTGTAGAGTCTAGAAGTTACTTCTTCCCACTGAGCCATCGGCCCGCTGCAGCAGTACTCGAACGACTGTCCAACACTGTACACGACTAACCATCAGCTTATTGTTCTTGGAAGCCATTATCGATCAGGATTCTAAGTCCACTGTTCTCAGAAAAACGTCTACCCCCTCCTTTTTCTCGGGTAATCATACAGTCTAGAAACGTTCATTGTGAACTGGGTGAATTAAGCCAAATATCTTTGTTAGTGACATGATCATTAGTCCAGTTTGCATGTCGTTCCGCCGTCTTTCAACGAACCAATGACCTGAGTTTCACAGAGTAGCCCGCCTATCCTTTAGTTTCATAGAAGATTCATTTCACTCAGCTTCATGAGACCTCTTGGGGGAGACACCCGGGTGCTTTTTGCGCAAATGTGTTTGCCCTCTGTTATTTCCAAATGTGCACCTGAGAGTGCTGATGTTTATAACGGTTTATAACGTTGTTCATTCAAAGGCACCATTACTATAGTTTAGACCGTGGACTAGTCCTCTGCACACTCTAATCTCCTCTCTATTTTCCAAACACAGGTCAAAAAAGTCAATTGTGCGGCTGGCGAAACTGTTGGTGATGGTGATGTGTTGGTTGAGCTTGAGTAACCGCCAACTTGGTTGATTGGCCCGGATCCAAAGACACCGATTCTTTCCCCCCTGCTCTGTCATTGTGCCCATGTCTAGTCTTGCAACCGAAATCTGTTCCTGCACTATTTTTCACAGTTCTATTGTTTTTGTAAACTCAATGAATTGCTGTTGATCCGTTTTAATCAATTTGCTATGAAAACATTTTATTTTGAACTTTGTCTACAGATTTGATTGATTGATTATAGGGTGTTTTTTTTGCGGTACATATCAAGACCGTCTAATTTGAAGTAAATTCATATACGATAAATCGTTGTCTTTTGAATGAGTGATTGGTAGACATGCGATGGCTTAGTATCACGGACGGCCATCACGCGACTACTTAGCCGATAGAGTTACCCTTAGGGCGCGACGATGGACTTAGTGATCTGCACCCCTTACATTGTCACTTTCTCCCAATTGAATTTCAACTTTACTTGTCCCCATTTGCGTCAGAAGCGTGTGTAAGTGCAACGGCTAATGCACGCACCAATAAGATTTTTAGACGGAATCGCGCACCGATTGCGCTTTATCGCTCACAGTTGGGCACTACTGAGGTCAACACGGGTTGGCTAAAAGATCGGGCCTTTTACCCGTCCAGAAACAAGGCGAGCTCTAATTGGCCGAAAGTATGGACCCAGCAACCAATCACGTTGTGTATCCGCCGTATGCCGATTATCGATGGCGCTCCTAGGGAGTGTCGGAATCCCTAGATTGTTGTAACGACATACGCCATATACGACTCGCTGTACATGTTTTTCTGACCCGGTTTTGGGCGTCAAAACACGTTGTGCACCTTTGGTTTTTGTTTTCACGGGAAGGCTAAATCAGGAACTAAGTCGAGAATACATCGTTATTACAAAGATTCATGTCCAGAACCGAGACAAATTCCACACAGTCAGAGGCAACGTAGGCAAGATAGACATTTGAATCAAGGGTATGCCCCACTGTCAGGTGGCGTGGGGGAACAAAGCACCGAAGTTTAGACAGCTGATAGGTGCATGTGGCTAGACTGGCGCATGACGTGAGAAAGCCCTAGGGTTCGACTCAGTCTAGTTTTGACGGTTTGGAAAATTTCAGGGTGAATGTCTCGCACCGTGAAGTAGTAAAACAGTTTAGCCAGATTACGAAGAGGTTTGTGAGCGTGCAGGCGGCCTGTGTGCAGCACATTCAGTTGTAGAATTGCATAAACGAGAGATTCAGTTGAGTCTCTTGTGAAAACCAAATTGATTTGCAAATGAGCGTATTTCTCGAAAACAGTTCAATTTGGGTTCAAGTAGATCATAAGGTTGACGGAAACTCGGGGACTGCGCCTACCTGATGAACCCGAACTGGAAGAGCGAAACCGGTCGTGGACTGTTGAAGAGTTTTCAGCAACCTTGTGAGTAGTTGTCTTTATGAAAATTATGACTACTTGTTCGGTCGGGCTCTTATATCAGTCTGTTATCCTGTGTGCTGACTGACAGGCGATCATGTGACCTTCGGCCCTGTCCACTCCTGCTTGGTCTGGGAGGAAAATACACAAATAAGAGAACACATCACAGCCACGAAAAGGCATGATCCTCTGTTTTCGTGTATGAACACCAAGCAGATCATGAATGCGTTAACGTCTTGGCGTGCAGAGGCAGTATGGTGGAGATGACCAGTACCCTGACGGAATACTTCACGAGAGCCAACTTTCCCTCTAACAAGCCAAGAAGCAAGAAATGTCTCGGGGTCACATCAGCAAATCTCACAAAATGGAACTCATGGAGTGCAAAGACAGGCTATTCCATTACCATCCAGAGGACGAGAGCAATGGAGACCAAGCTCAAAGGTCACGTGGTCACTGACCAATCAGGCGCGTGATAGCAGGCCAGACAAACGACCAGTCCTGATCGAAAGTCAACCCCGAATTTTAACTCACAGGGTCTACTACTCCATCAAAGGTCAGTCACTGACCAATCAGGCGCGTGATAGCAGGCCAGACAAACGACCAGTCCTGATCGAAAGTCAACCCCGAATTTTAACTCACAGGGTCTACTACTCCAGGCACAACCACTGACCCACCGCTACACTTTCCTCCGCCATGTAACAACCTCGATTGCGGATGAAGCGTTTGAAATTAAATTCCCAAACTGAATGACCATGTCCCTGTCTGTTTGCCGGTTGAATTCATATGCTCACTCAAGTTTTTCAACGATCGAACTCTGCGCTAGCAATGGTCTGCTACCCAACAGCACACGCAAGCACAGAAGTTGACAATTGTTCCTTGACGCCTCTCCAATGCCCCCAATATCTTAGCCAAGTACTCTCATTTTCATACTATTTGTTTCCGACGACAGAATCGATAGAATACCGCTCGGTCTCTCCTTCTTCAGCAAACTTTTGACCAGCAGGTAACGATCCAACATTTTCTTCCGCTTTTCTGAATCTTCCTGGGCGAGGTGGCCCAAGTGGTTAGAACGCGAATTTACTGACCGGAATGTCCGTGGTTCGAACCCGACCTCTGCCCCTCGACTTCCCTCGTCTAGGCTTGGGCAAACTGGCAGTGTCCTAGCCCTCGTGCAACCTTCGGATAACATGGTAGTTAGGCACCGAAAGGGTGCTACAGCTGAACGACCGATCGATCCAAGCAGTAAAATCACCATTTGACGAAAAGTTATCGCTCACTCATATTGATTGAATTAAAACTGCCAATCGATTGTAAAACTCTCATATTTTCTTCCCTGGAGTTTCTGTGAGTGCGTGGACGCCTGCACCCATAAAAAGTGCTCCGTCGAAGTCGAATTCGAACTCCTATCATTATTTTTTGGATTAATGGTGATCACTACCGGAAATCCGACTTTGTTCCCCCGTCGTTTACAGTCCAGAAGAGGGACTCGATCCTAGTTTGAAGGAGTTTTTCGGTTTTGTCATCACCGAAACGTTAGTAGCGTGCTCTCTGGGGCATTCGCAACAAGTGTTGTCGTTATTAGCCCCAAAGTTTAAATCGTCACCTGATGCGCCTTCGTACACAAATTATGTTTGTGATTGGTCAAGAGTCGGCTGGTTTCTTGCTGTTTGGTTTGAAGTACTCCGTCACCTAAGAATGCGGCGAATTGAAGGACTTTACTGAGTGAATCGGCCTTTCGGAACTCGCTTAGCTGGAGGACGGATAGATCAATACATGGATGCTTCACTCCTGGTGCTGCTACTCAGAGCGGTGCAGGATTCGGAACCAAAGTTCACCCGTTGGACAGCTGTTTTTAGAACCGATATTTCCTACCCCGTCCTTCCACGTAGGCTGGCTGCATAGTTAAACAAAGAGATGACAGCCCTCTGTAAAATACACCTTACTGCTCTAATGGTTCTGCCGTGTCAACTTATCTCATGAGGCTGTTTGCCAGTCGGTTTGGTTTGTTTTCCGACAGGTGTGAGTACATAGGAACCAAGATTCTCGTCAACATGACCCTCGGACTTACCAGATTACGCAAGGCCTACAGTCATTTCAATGCAGTAGGCGATCTTTCGAGCGGGAAACTTTGTCAACTTCTGGGCCTAATTCCCATCACACACATGATCGTAGCTGACACCATCCGCCCTAGTGATTTCCTTAGAGGAGCAGGCTCTATATGGGCTGTGAGATTCATTCATTCTGTGAATTTCCATACATATTAAATCGTTTTCCGCCTCTTTCATCTTTGAAAGGGCTTCTATCAGAATTAGGTGCCACGAGAATTCTGATTTCGTTTGATTTCATCAGCCATGTGTTACTGATTTAATCAGTCTAATGTCGCAGCATCACTGCGTACAAAAATGTGTTCTGAATCGAAAACCAGCTGAGATAGTCGAGGGAACTCCCAACCGAAACAAAGATGATCCTCTGCTGTGGTTTTAACATCTGTAAATTGTTTACAACGTTTTGTGACTTTGTCATTATCAAATCGAGCCATCTGGATGGCAAAGTTAGGCGTTCATCATGTGTGAATATCGATCTATCCCAGTAATCCTTTCAAAATTTGAATTCACGCTCAGTGTGAATCCCAGCTTCCTACTCGTCTGATCCAAAGGTGGAAAACCAGGTCTGACTATCAAGTTAGCCTAAACTATGCATCACTACTCTGAAACACCTTCTTCCCTGGCTTTAGAAACGAATTTCGTGTCCAACTTTTCAGATCATTTAAGTGAAAATCACAGCGTCTGGTAACGTGTTGACAATGCGTTTTTTTTCATTCACACATCAGTGTGCACAAAATTGTGTGGACAACATTTGAGAAAAACCTCCACACATCAATCCATAAATTTCACAACATGAGCGAAAATTCCGTCTGAGAAGTCATCACTTAAGGAGCCGATCAATACATGACCACGTCATCTGATTGGTGTGATTGAAGAACGAGTGACACTATATCCCGTCTAGTTGAGATCTAATCACATTGATGTTCAGCCGCTCGTGGCTAAACTGTTCAACCACTGGCAGGAAATTCGCCGTTACTTGACTTTCTGAGTCTTGTGAGATGAGCACTGCTCATGAGCCCCAGTAAGCGGAAAACCGTAGAGTGGCTTGTATAATGGCTTGTGGAGTATTGTCAAGGAATATCCATAACAGACTGTTGAATTTTTTTAGTGAAGTTCCAAGTAATACTACGTATTTGAATTTTACAGTACTGTGTCCTGAGACATATCGATCTCCGTGTGCATCACCTGAACGCGTGTTGTTTATGCTGGCCGTTTACACACAAATCTGGCGCAACACACCTGGATGCTGCTGACTGACAGTCTGACTTTTGGACTTGGCTGTCATTAACTGCACAACTGATCACTTCAACTATAAGCCACGTACCAATATCAAGTTGGTTCCATTTGATACAGTATCATCGACCAGAAGACTGGGGAAGCGTATGACCAAGTAAGGGAAGCGATGGCGTAAAATGGACAGCTACGCTTAGAAGGTGATAGCTTTGACTCACGAAAACCACTGGCTCTGTGAATGAACCATTTCTACGAGTCCCGGGGTCCTCATCCAGAAAGGTGGTCGTGGACCCAACTCAGTTTACTGGATAGTTTTACCAAGTCACGGTCTGTCCGCCTGCTGGTCGCTTCTGTTCAGCACAGAGCTGTATTCCACATACATACACACAGTATTACCACTCTGGTCTGTCAGTCCACATGACAGTATTATGTTTGTAATTGATGGAGGAGTCACGAGAACACCAGCAATAGGACCGATAACAGGTCCAAATTAGGGCTAGGTCAAGAACGAGTTCCGGCCAATTTTGGGGATGATTTCGTATTTAGGTTCCAACTACTGACATATTTAAGTAGGCACTTTGCGGTCTGCTGCAAACCCTTAGAGTCGAAGTGCCTTAAACAAAGCACTACCTAGGCGCTAAAGATCAACCGCTGCTTTGGGCTGGGAGTTGCGCTGGTGTACGGACACTGGAACCGCAGATCAAATCCCTTTTCAAACGTTTACCCGGTCTGTTGTGATCTGCAAGTTCACAAACACATCAGTCCCACCAAACAATGGTTAGTCGAGCAGAAGCCTCGAATTTTTCAATTTAAATCTGAAATTCTGGAATAGAAGTACGCCCACTATTCCTCCCACGATCAGAATGAGTGCAGGTCCATATCAAGAAGGTTAGATTCCTGAAAGTAACCCCAGAACTCCCGAAACCTACTGAGACCATAAAACTCCACCAAAATCTCAGCAGGAAAGCCGACAAGCATTCAAATCCAATCAAGCATTCAA